AAAATTTACATTTTCTATTCAAACTATTAACCTTCTAAAACCCACTTATACTTGTTTATTATAACTTTACTTTAAAACTAACCCCAAACCCTACTCTCTATCTCTAAAAAATACACCCCAAAAAATTTTATTTTTTGAGATTTTATATTATAATTTTATTTTGATCTGGATTTCATTATGATCCGTCATATGCATTAATTAGATCACTGATCAACATGTACCTGATCACTAGTCACATAGATACTGTATAGTACTGCAACACGAGCTAGAACTCCAGTAACTTTATTCTGAAGTTACAACAACTCATATCCATCCCACCAAGTTTTCTCATTTCAAGATGACAATCAAATACTACACTAATCAATTTCTCCGAACTACACCTGGCTATTTGATCCAAATACAATCGCTTTATAAAATTAATCTCCTTCATGCTATTTGATGTAGCACAATCCTGATTTATATTAATCTTTGGCACCCTAGGCCTTACATCTTTATATTGCCATCAGTTTTTTATATTGCTACTGATCATTAAAAATATCATATTTCTTATTTTCGGTCTTAGTTTATCAATCGATTTTACTTTCAAGCAGCCAATTTCATTACATTCAGCACTGTCCAGACTCCATTTAGATGCTTCGTGCTTATTTTCAACAAAATTTTGATAATTATTAAATGCTGTCAACTTTTTCTTTTCTTTTCTATTTTATTTTTAGAGCAATTTCTAGAATTGATCATTCTACCATCTGCAGCTTCACCCCTTTATTATTATTCTCCACATTATCACTCACACTTTCAGCAGATTTCAATTCAGGTTTTACTTCGCCAACTTCTAGAAACTTATTAGATAAGTTTTCAACTTTCATTTTACCTATTTGATTTGATTCATCAGAGTCCATTATGTTAACGATTTCACTTTTCTCTTTCTCATCATAATTGACATCATTATTTTTTATCAATTTACTTTTAATGCATCTAATATCCATAAAATCACTTCTCTCGTCTTTACTATTTTCTATTACACAATCCTCGTTTACTACAAATAATGCTTTTCTGGAGTCTGATTTAATTGTATAACAGCACTGCCCATTTTTTTACTAAATGTTGCACCTAGATCTTGCGATCCACAGCATTTCAAGAACTATATCCGAAGTCAACTCACGTACAATATAAAATATCTGATTTATACCAACACCACACACAACAACATCAGCGCAAGAAAAGCATTATTTGTAGTAAACGAGGATTGTGTAATAGAAAATAGTAAAGACGAGAGAAGTGATTTTATGGATATTAGATGCATTAAAAGTAAATTGATAAAAAATAATGATGTCAATTATGATGAGAAAGAGAAAAGTGAAATCGTTAACATAATGGACTCTGATGAATCAAATCAAATAGGTAAAATGAAAGTTGAAAACTTATCTAATAAGTTTCTAGAAGTTGGCGAAGTAAAACCTGAATTGAAATCTGCTGAAAGTGTGAGTGATAATGTGGAGAATAATAATAAAGGGGTGAAGCTGCAGATGGTAGAATGATCAATTCTAGAAATTGCTCTAAAAATAAAATAGAAAAGAAAAGAAAAAGTTGACAGCATTTAATAATTATCAAAATTTTGTTGAAAATAAGCACGAAGCATCTAAATGGAGTCTGGACAGTGCTGAATGTAATGAAATTGGCTGCTTGAAAGTAAAATCGATTGATAAACTAAGACCGAAAATAAGAAATATGATATTTTTAATGATCAGTAGCAATATAAAAAACTGATGGCAATATAAAGATGTAAGGCCTAGGGTGCCAAAGATTAATATAAATCAGGATTGTGCTACATCAAATAGCATGAAGGAGATTAATTTTATAAAGCGATTGTATTTGGATCAAATAGCCAGGTGTAGTTCGGAGAAATTGATTAGTGTAGTATTTGATTGTCATCTTGAAATGAGAAAACTTGGTGGGATGGATATGAGTTGTTGTAACTTCAGAATAAAGTTACTGGAGTTCTAGCTCGTGTTGCAGTACTATACAGTATCTATGTGACTAGTGATCAGGTACATGTTGATCAGTGATCTAATTAATGCATATGACGGATCATAATGAAATCCAGATCAAAATAAAATTATAATATAAAATCTCAAAAAATAAAATTTTTTGGGGTGTATTTTTTAGAGATAGAGAGTAGGGTTTGGGGTTAGTTTTAAAGTAAAGTTATAATAAACAAGTATAAGTGGGTTTTAGAAGGTTAATAGTTTGAATAGAAAATGTAAATTTT